CCCTTGGATCTATCGAGATTCTACAAAGATCTCTGAAGAACTATCTTAGATTTAGGTTTACTGAATCCACGTGAGAATTTGAGAAGGATGAGAAAGAGTAACAGGACATTACTTGATCATGGCCTTATACATGTGCATTTTTCGTCTAACTGGTCTCCTTCTGTTCTGTGTTATTTTATCTCCTGTTTTCTCTTTGTTCTGTTCTGTGTCTTGTTTGGTTTGTTTTTTAATATATCTCTTCTATTATCGAGTAAATTTCTGCACGTACGGATATTTCGTTCTTTTTTCATTTCTTTTTGTGAATATCATATTCACTCATTAATAATACCGTGTTGTTTTTGACGTAAGTGAGAGAAAACATATACAATAATAAACACATAAAGGTTTGAATCTATCGTTTGAAATAATGTTAATGTTGCCTACTTTAGAAGCTCGCATTATTCGAACAAAAAGTGGTATAGGTTGTTGAGTTAGAGATGCCTCGAAGCAATAAGAAGTGGTGCGCTCATCCAATCTCTCACGAAGGTACAAGAAAGTCGGGTCCGGGCGCTCTTCGTCCACGTGGAGATCGGCCTATTGATAATGATCTAGCCGCGTTCATCACACAAGAGTATTATCAAGCGGATGCGAATGTTGGATTCGCTCTATCTGAAGGTGATCTTCTATGTCGAACTTGTTACGAGACAGAGTCAACTCGATTTCATAGCAGTTTGGTCGTGGAAGTAAATTCAATAGCAGTTGATTCACCGTTATCTGCAGGGAGCCGACACATGGCAGAGACTGTCGAAACGAAATACAAGCTTGAACAGCCCAAAGAACTGCTGAATCAGGTATTCCAGATACTAGGAATTGAGAAGATTAGAGATGTGTAAGTACATCGTCGTATGTTCCATTTCTTAACTTGGTTTCCGTTTAGGCGACTGACAAATCAAGTAGACAAGCAAGTGACGATGGCTATCGAACTGATTCGATCCGCGGCAGAAGCCTTGCGACACTCGGAAGACATCGCCCAGCTCTCAAGTCACTCATCGCTTAAGCTCGCTGATAAGGAATATCTTCTCGACGGTTTCAAGTTTTTAATAAATTCCAGTGACCGACACGAGCAAATTCGTCTTCTTACTCTGGCTCCACCTGAATCGGGAAGAACGAAAGTTGAGGAATACTTCGGATGCTCTCGCTATTTGGCTCAAAAGAGCATCTCTCTTCGCGAGTCATACGGCAAGTTGGCCGTACCTGTTGACTGGCGCGGCAACACCTGTCTTGATCCGCTCCTTGCCCGAGAAATTATTGATTTCTACAGTGATGATGCCATTAGCCGTCAGTCTCCTAACAAACGTGATGTAATTCACGTTCAAAAGAATCCCGTTGCCATTCGACACATGTCAATGACTGTAGGTCAAGCCTATCAACTCTTTGTACAACAGTTGCAAGCCAAGCAGGAACTCAATTCTGTACAAAAATCGAGCTTTTACAACCTAAGACCAAAATGGATTAAGGTTAAGAAGCCACACGATGTTTGTACTTGCATTTATCATGAGAACTTCGAACTACTCATTCAGGTAGAATTCCACATACAGGAACCCAGGATCTATTTTGTTTGATAGGGTTGGAACAACCTGGATATCAATACCATGAATATGAAAAGTCTCATTGCTGAATGTGTGTGTTCTTCGCAAACGGAAACATGCTATTTTCGAGAGTGCGATGACTGCAAGTGGTTGCGGCCTGGTAGCTTTCTTTTCAGTGAGCTTCTGAATTGCCAGAATGTGACACTTGATGATAATGTTACTTGGATGACTTGGAAATCAGTGAGTGTCTCCCTCTGTGCGTTGTTTACCTATAATCTAAAGTTGATTCTCTCCAGCCTGTGTCGACGAAGAGGGTGGGCGATGCTGACGACGAGCCGACCACAGTTGCAAAGATCTCAATGCAACGTGTCAGCGGCTCGATTCGTGATCTGCTTGAGGAGTTCGATGTCAAGTGGGCAAAGTTTGCTGTCCACCACTACTGCACTCGTCAACAGCAAGAGTACGTTAAAAAGATTAAAGGAGAAGCTCGTGCAGATGGAACAGTGGTAATCCAAATGGACTTTGCCGAAAATCATTCGCTGATTGTTCAGCACGAGATCCAGCAAGCTCACTGGACAACCCCACAAGCCACCATATTTACGGTGCACATAACTGTAGACAAAACCATTCAGCACAGCCTCGCTTTTATTAGCGATCACCTTGATCATAATATTGATTTTGTTCATGCTGCTCAAAGTGTAATTGTTCAATTCATTCGACATCGCTATTCCACCGTGAAACGAGTTAACTATATCACCGATGGAGCTCCTCAACACTTCAAGAGCAATGAATCGATGCTGAATTTAACTTATCACGAGAGTGACTTCGGAATTCCTGCCGCATGGACATTCTCTGCTACAGCACATGGGAAAGGTCCAGTTGACGGGATCGGGGCAGCTCTGAAATACCGTGCAACTTGTCGAGTACTCAGCGGACGACGAACAGATGCCATCCTAACGCCACAAGAGCTTTATCAATTCACTTCAACCGACACCAAGATCAATGTCTTTTATCTTAGTCGGCAAGATATAAAGCTAAACTCTGAGTCTATGAATCTGAGCAAACGACTAGCTCAAAAGGCTGTCAAAGGTCAGATCATCCTTTCTAACATTGATAAAAGATTTCCTTCCTTTTTTGACAGGTTGGATTCACGGAATTCGTACTTTTCATCAGTTCGATCCTTTGGCAGTGAATCGCATCAGTTGCCGTAAAACATCCAGTAGCTCAGACTCAAAAACATTCGCACTTTAACACGTTCTTCCGCGGTTTCTTCCTCTTCTCATGCTTGCAAAACCAGGCTTTTCTTATAATTAAAATATTAACATTCCAGTACCGATCTATTAACACATGTATCAATGGAAAATAGCATAGATCCAAG